GAACTGAGAGTGTGTGTCGTTCACAGACAGCAGAATGAATGAGTTCACAGTAACGTTCATCAGGCAATAGTGCAGTACGTTCAGTTCACGTTCGCCCAAAATATGAACGAGTTCATGAACTTTCGTTCAATGAACGCGTTCAGGCACAACAATGAAGATATCTGTGAAGATTCTCAGTCACCCAGGTCGTGGTCAGGCTTAAAAATCTCCATATTTCCATTCTTATGTGCATTTACAGCACACACCTCTCATTTTATTATTAGAATAAAGTTTGTGACAACACATCCATACACACTCTGAAATGCCTTCAGGGATATCTAATATTGACTTGGATATTTATTCTTGTTGAACATTAAAGTTATTATATTGCAATAAGTTGGTGCTAGAAACAGTTTTAGGAGTACTTACTTAACATTATAATGATTTTAGTAGCTGCCTTATTTTTTAATTTAAAAGTAATCTAACTAATAACTTTACACATTTTGTTAAAGCCGTTAAGTTACTTGCATCCAAACCTAGGTTTTGGCCAATCAAAGCAAATTTTCATAAGTGCATGCAGGATGCACATATGAATAGAGTGAAATGTGGGCAGTCACCAGCATGCTTTCATCGCTGCTAAAACAAACCGAGGGTAGGCAATGGTGAAAGGTGCTTTCATTGAGTCTTTGCAGATTCAGTGACAGCGTTGCTAAACTTGCAGCACTCCCTGTATTCAAATACCTTATCCTTGTCAGCTAGAAGCAGCTTTGATCCAGTGAAATTCCTCACATTGTCTCGATGTCAACGACAAACTGACTGGCAGCTCCCTGTCTAAGTTTATCAACACATATCACTCTTTACTATCTTATTGCTATGCTTGATTCGCTTACATGATATCCAATTATTCTTTTCATCGAAATAATGAGAGTACATGCCTTCTTGTTTTTTTTTTGTTTTTGTAAAAGTGTGACTGATATACGAACTCAGTAACATTTTGGGAGAGTAACTGGTACCTATAACAGGTACTTTTTTAGTAAATTGCCAACTCTGGCAAGGAATCATATATTTAGTTTCCTTTGGAGACCTTACCATGAGACCTCAATATGAAATGTCAATTCAATAGAATATTCCACATGGATGAAATGTTAGGCTGCAGCCACACCTTCACATTCTTACTCATATGAATGCTGTTTTTGTAAAAACACTTACAGTTTAAATGAATGAATGGAATGGTGATTCAAAAGAAATATGAAAATGTCAGAAGTTAAAGATTCTCAGTAAGTGGCTCTCGCACCTTCAGATTTTTTTTTTTTTACCTGTGTCATGCTTTATGGCAGAAATATATAATGCTCAGAGGCAGGCTGGTTAACCAAGCATTAGAGGCAAATCAGGTGAAGTTTAGAGCATCTTTTAAAATCTTCCAATACTTTTGGTGAGTACATTCCTAACCCTATAAAAAACACATGCCTACCAGGTATTGGTAATTTCTTTTAGAAATGTATAATACAGCACTGATTGCTTGTTATGTAAAATTTCATCTGACTGTGATTGTTTAGATTTACTTTGATAGGCTTTATGCTTCTTTTGTGTTAAAAGTGGTGAGCATTTTGAAGATGTAATATTTGATATGAAAGTTAAACCAGGTTATTATAAAATGTTATTTCTTAATACTTGACCTAAGACTTTGATCTGTCTTAGGTCACAATACCTGAAATAATTTAACATTTTTTAACTAGCAACAGGGTTTAAAACTGTATGCTTAATCTTTGGTTCCAAAAGTTGGGGAAACTTATTTTTTAATGCTGTTGGTTAAGGTTAGGTGTTCTATTTGCTTTCTCATTGTAATTTTGTGTTTTTTTTATGTATTCTTTGTGTCATGTTTGGCTTGACATGTTTGGCCCACATGCAGAATACATTCGGAAACAGCCAGATCTTTAAGGGTTTTATTGAAAAAACTTAACGAAAGGGGATTCTGCAACAGCAGACCGAAGCTCAGCACAGGGAGCCGGAACCAGGGAACGTCTAAGGGAATGAGAAGGGCGGTTAACCAGGGATGGAGCAAAGGAATGTACAGCTGGACGAACGCTTACTTCAGAGCGGGGAAAGCCGAAACGGGGAGAAGGCGGGTTGGACTCTATGCTTGCCTGAAGGTGAGAAGGCGATCGTCCAGGTAACCAGAGAGCTGAAGCCAGAGAGGGTCCAAGCAGCACCGGGAAAATCCAGGGATCTAGAACAGCGGGAGGAACCTGATGGAGGTCCGTGAGGGTGATGGGACCAGTGGGGGGAACCGACTCGGAAGGAACCGGGGGAAATACTCAGAGGAATCCACCACAAGAGGGATAACTTGGACTTGAGAGGAAGGATCAGAACACGAGGGGGTACCTGGGAGACACAAAGGTAAGATTTGTTACACAAAGAGCTTTCGAAGGCTAGAGACAGTGGTAGGTTTGCATACCACTACGGTAACACTCAGATGTCCTCCCGCTGTCTGAGCGCAGTTCTTATAGAGCGCCCCGGTGCTGCAGAACCACCTGCAGGTGCGCAAGCACCAATCAGTCAACCTGGAACACCTGTGGAGAAGGCAGATGCAGCAGAGTCCTGACACTTTGTTAAACAGTATTTTTCATGTTCTGTCCATTACTTTTTGATATGTACTACTTAGTAGTAAAACAGCAACATAACTGTTGCTATCAACCAAATTAATTATTTTTTTTGTGATGACAATAATTAATATTGTATGAACAGTGAAGGGTGACAGTTCATAATGGGGGCTAGAGGAGTCTTACTGATACTACTCATACTAAAAGGTAAGATCAAAAATATAAAAAATACACATTAGTGCAGCTTCGAAAAACATAGTTGTAATTTTACAACCCTTTTATAACCCTCTTTCAAAATGTACAAAAATATAGGCAATTCAATAATGCAAGTTGCGAAAGCTGATATAAGCACGACTACAGCTGAACCTACCCCAACTACAGCCACAGCTAATACAAATACAGCTACACCTACAACTACAGCTGCCACTACAACAGAAACAGCTGCTGTGACGACAGACACAGCTGCAGCCACCACTACTTTGGCTGCTCCTACGACAACTACAGTTGCTCCAACCACGACTACATCTGCCCCTACCACAACTACAGCTGCACCTACCACCACTTCAGCTGCTCCAACCACAACTGCTGCTGCCCCTACCACAACTACAGCTGAACCTATCACCACTTCAGCTGCTCAGACAACAACTACAGCTGCGACAACCACAACTGCCTTAATCACAACTACAGCTTTAGCTACCAAAAGTTCAGCTGCCCCTACCACAACTATAGCTGCACCTAACACAACTACATCTGCCCCTACTACAACTACAGCTGCACCTATCACCACTTCAGCTGCTCAGACAACAACTACAGCTGCCCCAACCGCAACCACAACTGCCCTTACAACAACTACAGCTCTACCTAGCACAAGTACAGCTGCCCCTACCACAACTACAGCTGCAGCCACCACTACTTCGGCTGCTCATACGACAACTACAGATGCGCCAACCACAACTACAGCAGTGACAACCACAATTACAGCTGTCCCAACCACTACTACAGCTGTACCTACCACAACTACACCTATCCCTACCACAACTAAATCTGCCCTTACCACAACTACAGCTGCACCTACTGCAACTACATCTGCCCCTACTACAACTACAGCTGCACCTATCACCACTTCAGCTGCTCAGACAACAACTAGAGCTGCCCCAACCACAACTGCCCTTACAACAACTACAGCTCTACCTAGCACAAGTACATCTGCCCCTACCACAACTAAATCTGCCGCTACCACAACTACAACTGCAGCCACCACTACTTTGGCTGCTCATACGGCAACTACAGATGCCCCAACCACAACTACAGCAGCGACAGCCGCAATTACAGCTGTCCCAACCACAACTACAGCTGCACCTACCACAACTACATCTGCCCCAACCACAACTACAGCTGCACCTACCACAACTACATCTGCCCCTACCACAACTGAGGCTGCAACTACCACAACTACATCTGCCCCTACCACAACTGAGGCTGCAACTACCACAACTACATCTACCCCTACTACAACTACAGCTGCACCTACCACAACTACACCTACCCCTACCACAACCAAATCTGCCCCTACCACAACTACAGTTGCACCTACCACAACTACATCTACCCCTACCACAACTACAGCTGCACCTATCACCACTTTAGGTGCTCAGACAACAACTACAGCTGCCCNACTTTAGGTGCTCAGACAACAACTACAGCTGCCCCAGCCACACCTACATCTGCCCCTACCACAAGTACAGCTGCAGCCACCACTACTGTGGCTGCTGCTACATCAACAACAGCTGTCCCAACCACAACTACAGCTGCTCCAACCACAACTACTGCTGAATTCATGCAGTTTCCAAAGCTCAGAAGGCTGTTCATAAAACACAACACTGCCCTGCCCTCAAGCGCTCCAGTAGAGAGGCTCTTTAGCATCGGTGGTCTAATATTCAGGTAAGAATAAAGTGTGATTATATTACATAATTAGTATTCTTTGGTAACAAGCACAGTAAATACCCAGCCTCAATCATAGTTCTTGGTGATATTATTCTAATTCAGGTTTTTAATAGGCTATACAAATTAGGTCAAATTATGTCAGTGATTGTGTTAGTTCACAATTGCTTTAATACAGATTAAGTGTTACCATTTTTGCCATAATAATCATGATGTTCAAATTTCTTGTTATCTCATTCAGACCGAGGAGAAACCGCCTGGGAGATGCCAACTTTGAGAAGCAGCTGATCTTGAATGCCAACAAAAAGATTTGAAGGTATATTAAATATTATTGTGATCTGTTTATTGGGCTGTAGAAGTACAATGTATTGCCAATGGAGATGACTATATTGATGTGCAGAGGTGAACTGCATGAAAATAACAGGGCATATCTTGTTTACAGGAAGAAAAAACAGCAGATCTACCAGGGAGAGAACACTGTGACCGAGGATCTTCATTCAGATAAGGGATTTTTGGGCTGGACAGAAAATAACACTGTCCTTGGCCCTGCATACTTTTCATTTATTAGTATTATTTTAGTTATTTATGTGGACTGTAACCAGTGACAGATATTCATTCAGTTAAGGTATTTTCACTCACTGAGCAGAAAGTAGAAGCACAGTCCATGGCCTTGGAACCAGACTCTGAGTCTTTTAAGTTATTTTTTTTTTATTATTTTACTTATTCAGTGGCCAAAAAATTGAAAAGTGACTTGATAATGTTTAAATGTTTTGCACTTTGAATATTGCACTTTCAAGTTCAACCTTTAATTCCTACCTCAGCCTGGTCCCTCAGTTTTTGTTAGTTAAATGTTCTTGAGGGTTTTACTATTTTTGTAACTTGTTTGTTAAACCTGCCTGGTATAATTTTCCAGGATTCCAGTATTCCTTTTTAAAGATATTAAAAAAACATTTGCACCTTTAAAGACTACTTTCCTGTTTTTCTTTTAATAATTCCTCATAAAAAAGTCCATTCAAGCAGCACATTTTTCCTGATG